GTTCATCCGTGTGGTTTTTGTTGACTCCCTGATCATCTTGTGCTTGTTCTCTGCTTCACAATCTACAAGACTAGGAATGCTTAATGAAGCCACTGAATTTGAAAGTGAAACTCAATCGGCAGCATTCACCTGATTTACTGGGCCAATAGTCCTGAGGTCAAGGACAAAAGAGTAGTCTTTTGTTTGCAAATTCATGTGGCACGATATGTGATAACAGAACAGACTGATATGGGTTCATGATTTGTCAGTGAAAAGCTCTCAATGTTTGGCTCTGGATTCATGGACAAATAATGCATGAGAAGATACACAGCCAATAATAATTGTACAACTGAACTGTATATTGTCACCAATAATCCCTGCAGGAACACCCACCACCTTTGAAATGATGAAACCTATTGTTGTCCCTCACAACAATTTCCCTACCAAAAGTTCGAGAAACCATTTTCATAAAATCATGACAATCCCAACAGATCCTAAGGTTTTTAACAATCCTTATAGGAACGTCTTTCTTCAATCTGATCAAACCAAATGCTGTGGCAATCTTCTCACTGTGTAGAGCCAAAGCATTCTCTTTCTCTTCTTCTTCTATATCGAATAAAACGGGGTTCGTGTTGGCCATGTAACCTGATAATCTCAGCCTCCCGAAGACTTCACCCAGCATCAGTTTAATTTCATTATACATTTGGTGGGAGTTATCTCCAACAAAGAACTCGTGAACTTCACCATCAACTTCTACAACACTGCAGCCCGGAAGCTTCTTCACGCCTCTGGACTTCATTATCTGCCGCACATGGCTTACACCTATCCAGCTTTTGTTATCAGCGTAGATATTGGACAAAGCACGTAAGCACCATGACTCTTTGCTTCAAGCTCCACCATCCTTCTTGAGGCAAGCTCGCCTATTTCATATTCTTGTGAATTTTACATGCATTTAGTAAAGCTCCCCAAGCGCCAGCATGAGGCTCCACTGGCATGTCCTTGATGAAATTTAACGCTTCATTTAAGCAGCCAGCTTGGCCATACAAATCAACCATGCAGCCATTATGCTCCCGTTCAGGCTGGATTCCATACAACTTGGTCATTGAGGCAAAATGCTTACAGCCTTCCTCGACTAGTCCAACTACACTGCAGCCTCTCAATACCGACACAAACGTCACTTCATTCGGGAGAACCCCATCTTTCTTCATGAGTGAGAAAAGCTCGAGACATTCCCTACCAGCTCCATTCATGGCCAGTCCATTCATGGCAGAACTCCATGTGTAAACGTTCCTTTCTTTCATCCCCCAGAAGACCTCCATGGCCTTATCCATGTCACCGCATTTGGCATACATATCAATCAATGCAGTTCCTAGCGTCAACGTCATCCGAAGCCTGCTCTTTTTAATATATACATGAGCCTACCTCCCTTGATCCAGCGCACCTAATTGAGTGCACGCAGATAGAACCGGAACCAAAGAAGGCTCATTGACCTTCACACCTTCCAGTTGCATCTCATGGAACAAATTCAAGGCCTCCCTCGATTCCCCACACTGGGCATACCCTGCAATCATCGCATTCCAAGCAACAGTATCTCTCTCGGGCATTTCGTCAAACAGCTGCTTAGCGAACGCGACATCGCCATACTTGGCGGAAGCACTCAGCATTGCCGTCTGACACACCACGTCACGATCAAGAATCCCTCCAAACACCCTACGACACGATTCTAAACTACCCATCTCGTTGTACATAATAATCAACCCACTCTGAACATGCGGGTCGGCCGCGAACATGTCTCACAAGCGCGCCGTGGACCGATTCCCCCATGCCACGCGCCGGAAGCTGCGCGCACGCGCGGACCAAGAAATTGAAAGTGCAATTGTCCGGCAACAAGCCGCAGCGCCGAATCCTGTTGTAGTAGCTGAAGCTCTTCTGCGGGGTCGGGCTCTTGGAGTGGACCCTGATCATGGAATTCAAGCCGAACAGAGTCGGGTTCTCGCATCGGTCGAGGACCCGGCTGGAGTGCTCGAGGTTCTCGGGGTTCCTGAGGGCGACGGCGGCGACGAATTGGCCCAAGAACTGGGGCTCGTTGAGGAGGCCGCCGAGGAGGAGGTGGGCGTGGATTTGCAGGAGCTCTCGGAGGGTGGTGGAGGGATCGATCAGGCAGATGCTGGGGTGTTTCGCAATGCTTCTGAGCGAACTCATGGCCCCGTGGCGCTTGGAGCGTTTCTTGGGTCATGTCTGAATCTCCCACTGCCTTTGCTGCGTTCGGCTTTGAGGATTTTTCGGAGCATCCGAGGAAATCAACTCTGGTGGGTCTTGGGGGTGTTCCCGCGTTTCAAACGGTCGGTTCGTTGGTAAATAAGAAGGGGAAAATGTTCTGGAAATACGAACTTTTTGTGTTAGGGTAGATTATTCTTTAAAAAAAAAATTTAACGGGATAAGTGTACTAAAAATTCTAAAACTTATCATGAAAATACAATCGAGTCATCAAACATTCAAAAGGTACAATCAAGTTTTAAAATTTGTCATGAAAGTGTAATTGAGTCCTACAACGGAAGAACTTGATTGGACCAATTTGACAAGTTTTAGGATTAGATTGCACTTTTTGAAATTTTTATGACTCGATTGCACTTTCGTAACAAGTTTTAAGGCTTAATTGCACTTTTGGAAAGTTATAGGACTAAATTACACTTTCGTGACAAATTTTAAAACTTGATTGTACCTTTTGAATGTGTAATGACTCGATTGCATTTTCCGGAACCAGCCTGGGTCAAACTCGGGACTGGCTCGTTGACCGGACCTGTGGTTCGAAACCGAAACCGGCCCGTAGCCTACGGGCCCGGTTCCAATTCCAACAATTTTGGAACAGGCCCGGAACCGCCGGTTCTAAAAAAAAAACTGCAGATAAGTGGAGAAACTCTTTTTTTCCCCAAATTTGATTACAATGTACATTTTGATTATATTTTATATTAAATAATTCATTATTTCATAATTTGATAATTCATTATTTTTTTATTTCATAATTTATTTTTTTAATTTTTACCTGCCGGTTACGAAGCGGGCCTGAACCGGAACTGGCTCGGAACCACCGGTTCCGATTCATACATGGCCATGAACCGAAACCGATCGATTCCGAACCGTGGCCATGTCTAGGATAAGTACACCGAAAATCCTAAAACTTATCATGAAAATGCAATCGAGTCATCAAACATTCAAAAGGTACAATCAAGTTTTAAAATTTATCATGAAAGTGTAATCGAGTCCTACAACGGAATGACTTGATTGGACCAATTTGACAAGTTCTAGGATTAGATTGCACTTTTTGAAAGTTTTATGACTCGATTGCACTTTCATAACAAGTTTTAGGGCTTAATTGTACTTTTGGAAAGTTATAGGACTAAATTACACTTTCGTGACAAATTTCAATACTTCTTTTTAATACACTTATTCCTTTTTTTAAAAAAAAAATTTAGGACCTCTCAAATCCTTTTGCTTTTATAACTCCCTTTAAGAGCAAACAAATTGCCTTAAATTGGCATTTTTTGTGACAAATTAATTACTTGTCGAATCTTTTCTTTAAAGGAAAATATATCCATATCATATTGTTATATTTTGTGGCAAATTAATTAGTTCCAATGTTTCGACCAAAATAGACTTAGTTCCAATGTCTCATTTTAATAGTCCGAGATAGTTGTCTCCTATAGTGATCTTTTCAGGAAAAATAATTAGAATATGATTTTAGAAACAAACAGGCAAAAGGACACTATAAGTGCCATAACTTGTGTACGGAGATCACTTTGGTGCCATAACTTTTTTTCGGATCACTTTGGTGCCAAGTCGGAGGAAAAACGATCACTTAAGTGTCATAAGTTTTTTTTGGATCACTTCAGTGCTAAAATTTTTGAAAAATGACCACTTAAGTGCCAATCTCCGGCGAGCCTCCGGCAAGCCACGTCAGCTTCAAAAATTAATAAAAAAAATGCCACGTCAGATTTCCGGCGAAAAATTGTGTACGGCACCGGAGTTGGCACTTAAGTGATCGTTTTTCAAAAATTTTAGCACTTAAGTGATCGTTTTTCAAAAATTTTAGCACTAAAGTGATCCAAAAAAAACTTATGGCACCAAAGTGAGCGCCGTACACAAGTTATGGCACTTGTAGTGTTCTTTTGCCGAAACAAACATATCTACCTCGTATGGTGGTGTTCTCCGATAATTTGATTTGCATCCGGCTTTAAATTCGACGCAGAGAAAACATTATTTGCCAAATCTAAACTCTGGTCACAATTTTTCCCAATATGTATCACCCAAGATTCACATTCAAGAATTGAAACGCACGATAAAATGCTCACCCTCATCTTTATTTAAGAACAAATATAAGATGTGTAAATTAATAACATAGTGTTTGTCCAAGAAATAAATTAAATTGCATAGTGTTTGTCCAAGATTTAGTGAAAAAAAAAACATTCTCCAATGGTTATTCGAAATCATCTTCCAATAGCTATCCTCCAGCTGTAGATAGTAGTCAGTTCTTGACCTCTAATGATGGGATAAGGACACTAGAAGTGCCATAACTTTTGTACGGCGCTCACTTAAGTGCCATAACTTTTTTTGGCTCACTTGAGTGCCAAAATTTTGAAAGAGTGATCACTTGAGTACCAAATGCCATTTGGCAGCCGGAAAATCTGATGTGGCTTCGCCGGAGCTGACGTAGACAATATTTTTAAATTTTTTTTGAATTTTTTTATTATTAATTTTTTTATTTTTGCAAAAAAAAAAATTTCAATTTCGGCAAGGGACACCGGCGAACCTCGCCGGCTATGAAGGCCTCACCTAGATTGGGAGAGGGCCGCCATGCCCTTGGCCGCGAAGGCCCTAGGCGAGGCCGCGAAGGCCGTCTCGCCGACCGCGAGCGTGGCGGCATCCCCAAATCTGGTGAAAACCTTCACTGCTGCGAGTGAAGCCCTCACCACTTCGTCCGCGCCGGCAAGGCCGTATTGGCCTTGCCAACGGTTTTCGCGGCTATGGGCAAGGCGGCCTCGCCGGATCTGGCGAGAGCCTTCGCCGCCGTAGGCAAGGCGGCTTCGCCGGATCTAGCTAAAGCCTTCGCCGCAGCGCCTGCGGCCGATGAGGCCATGATGGCCTTGCCGAGAGCGTTTGCGGTCGCAGGCGAGGCGACCTCGCCGGATTTGGCGAGAGCCTTCGTGGCCGCAGGCAAGGCAGCCGCCGGCGAGGGTCACCGATGACCCTCGCCAACCTTGAAAAAAAAAAGAAAAAGAAAATAAAAAGATAAAGAAAAATTAAAATTAAAAAAATCAATAAAATCAATAAAATAACATCAAAAAAATCCACGTCAGATTGAAAAATTAATTAAAAAATCCACGTCAGCTCATTTGTTGAAAATGACACTCAAGTGATCTATTTTCACCGAAAGTAGCACTCAAATAATTTATTTTACTCCGATGTGGCACTCAAGTGAGCCAAAAAAAAGTTATGGCACTCAAGTAAGCGTCGTACGAAAGTTATGGCACTCCTAGTGTCCTTATCCCTCCAATGATCAATTTGAGGTCCAAAGCCACTTTCCAGGTGCATCTATATAACCCAAATTAGAGAATGTTGATATAGGACCAAGCACAAAAATTTCAAAGTAATAATGTAAGATAAAACCCAATTAACAACTGGGTCACAAAGTATGATGGGAAGCAACAATTGCTTCAATAACTTCTCCAACACTTCTGTAGCTTCCATAATGGCTGAACTAGTGAACCAGTGTTGATATTCCTGAACTTAACTATTCTTATATCTGCATTTGATATCCTAGATAGATTGCATTTTAGCAAACATATCTAGTAATATATATCACCCAAGATTCGTATTCAAGAATTGAAATACATGATAAAATGCTCACCCTTATATTTATTTAAGAACAGATATAAGATGTGTAACTTAATAACATGGAATATCCAAGAAATAATTAAATTTGCAACATGTTTGTCCATGATTTAATGGAAAAGAAAAACATTATCCAATGATCGATTTGAGGTCCAAGGCCACTTTCCAAGCGCATCTATATAACCCAAATTAGAGAATATTGATATCGGACCAAGCTTCTTCACCACAAAAATTTCAAAGTAATAATGTAAGACAAAACCCAATTAACCACTGGGTCACAGAGTATGATAGGGAAGTAACATTTGCTTCAATAACATCTCCAAAGGCCGAACTATTGAACCAGTGTTGATATTCCTGAACTTAACTATTCTTATATCTGCTGTTGATATCATAGATAGATTGCATTTTAACAAACTTATCTAGTAATTGATTTCGACTTCTCTATTTGTCACTATTTTTTCCCCAATTAGCAAAACATACTTTTAAGCTTCATAAATTGACTCGAAAACTCTTTTTTTTTTCGCCTTTTAATGTATAATTTTCGGCATCATAAATAACTTATGTTGAATAATTGTTATCACAAGTATTTTAATAATTAAATTTTATCTTTATCTGCGTTAGTTTTTTCTCCACTCTTTTTATGTAAAGTGGCTCTAGGGGTGAGCATGGTTCCAGGTTCTACTCTGAAACCTGAGAACCTGACCGATAGGAACCTGTAGGTTCTAGGTTCTAAGGTATGCAAAGTAAGTTCCAGGTTCTAAAAATTGAAAAACTTATTTCAACGGGTAGGTTCTAAGTTCTAGGTACACCTACCTAGAACCTAGAACCTGGAACTTGAAACCTAAGTAAGTTTTTTGTGTTTTTTCTTGGTTTATATTTTCATATGATCATGTGGTGTTTCATGACATTAGATGATGAATGTATAATCTGAAACCACTAGTCCGAGCTTTCATTTTATGACTTGTTAATGTTTCATATTTTTCGTATGTCTAAATATAAGTTGTGGTCAATAGATCATAACAAATGATGGTCATTAAAGGTGATGACTTATTGCAATTGTTCAATTAATAATACAAATGAAACCTGAATAGACCTTGGAACCAACCTGGAACTTTTGATAAAGTAGGTTCCAAATTTCAAAAAATGAAGAACCTATTCTCATGGGTAGGTTCCAGTGGAACTTATACGAAACATGGAACCACTCGCCCCTAGTATCGATTCACACAATGACTTCTCATTTTAATTGTATTTATTTGAACCGTAATGCCATAAAAACTAGTCTTTGTATTCTTTTTGGTAAATAACAAGCTTGTTCAGTATTGTTGCATTCATTTTCATTTTGTTTAATTAAAAATGAAATTAAAAAAAAGAACCTATTAGACTTTGGAACTTATCTTGGAATCTGTGACAAGGTAAGTTTCAAGTTCCAAGTTCCAAGTTCCGATGGGTAGGTTTCAAGTTTCAAAAAATGAGGAACCTGTACCTGAAGGTAGATTCCAAGTTCAGGTAGAACTTGTAAGGAACCCGGAACCGCTCACCCTCTCTTGATGATTGGATAAAAACTTGACACTAGTTTGAAAATTGCTTTGTTATGTGTCTAAACAAGAAGGAAAAGGCTCTCGGGCTTTGGCCCGTCCTTTTCGGTCCGAGACGAAGCTTCTAGCTGGGGCAAAAATGTCCAAAAGCCCTTATACAACAAAAGCATAAGATATAAATTCTTTTTCTAGATTGAAATATTTAAAAGAAGTATATGGAATCATGGTGATGTTTTTACCTGTTTTGACTCTTGAGAAAGAGAAATATCTACAGGAATACAACAACATATTGGTCCTGAATACGCCGATCCTTCGAGAATTCTTCAAGCTTTGGCCAATGGGACGAAACTTATTTTCATAGAAAATCTTTTTCCATTTAGAGGAGATACTCATTTATCCACAGCGTTATATCAGTTTTATCAAGTTATTCAGTAATTCCTTTTAGTTATCACATTGTTTTATCCAATCTCAATATCGGTGTTTTTTTAAAGAATTGCCTTTTTTAGTATTGCTCCCATTGGACTTCTTATGTCAGGATTCCTTTCCAGGGAGTCTACAAGCCTCTGCTTAATTGATTAGCTGTGAAATACCGTTAACTCTTCGTGTGTTCATCAATATCTCCACGTGCGCATTCGTTAAATTGGAAACTTTTCTTCTCTTTATTCCTTTCTTTTTCGAAAAGAAATTGAATAGATATCTCCTTTTCTTTTTTTAATTCATCATTCAGTTCCATGACCTAAATCAGATAGTTGCACGAGTGAGAGAAAATACAAGAATACGAAAAATAAGTAAATATGAGCAAGACTTTAACGCCCAACACCAACTCCGGCCCGCCCCATAATCCTTTCTTTGATGGGCTTTTAGAGGTGAATACTGAATAGTCCAATCTGAGCAAAGCAGGGTTTTTGAAAACTTGGCTGGCGACTGGGGTTTCTCTCCTCCTTCCCTGCAACGCTCGCTCCCTCCCTTCCTGCCCGAACTCAGGTTCAGCCGTCAGTCCATCGCCGCCTGCCGCCGCCGCACGGAGGTTCCGGTAAGCTCTCTCTCTCGCTCGCTCGCTCGCTTAAGCCTGAACTCTGTTGGGTTTCAGCTGAATCGATACGCCGGCTTTCCCGTTTTCCGGTGAATGCATCCGGATGTATTCGCCGATTCGAGCGTGTGCGATGCTGGAAATGATTCAGGGAAAGCGGTGGAAGTTTCGTTCTTATGGCGGCTGTTGCTTTGTTCTGTTTGGCGGCAGATGAGGAGGAGGTGACGGTTCCCGACGAAGTTAGGGACATGGCGGCATTGTCGATTTCCAGGAGGGTGTTGCGGTCGCTCGGGCCGTTGGGCCAGTGGAGGCATGTCGGCTCGGTTTCGGCCGCGAATGGTTCTTTGCTCCGCGGATTTTACTCGATCAAATGCTTTCGATGGTGTATTGCGAGTGAAATCATAATTTTGGATGTTTCAATTTCTTTATTATTTGTCTTTGAATGTGCTCTCGGCTTTGCTCTATAACCTTAGTGGTTTCTTCCTATTGAAGAAGCAGACTTGGGTTGTCTTACTTTCTACTGTCTACAGTATAGCAGTTGATTGATGAACATGAGATAAGGCCATCCTTAGCTTTGACTCTTGACATCGGGGTGTGTTTTATGTAACTGTGTGTAGGACGGTGCTTTTTTCTTTGGTCGTCGAAGGCTATCAACCTCAATACTGACTCCTAATGGTGAAGCTGACTTCCCTTCTGACTTATTGTCCAAGAAGGAAGTAATCGTGTCTGATCGCGAGATAGGTATGGATGAAATGTGCTTTACAGTGTCTTTCTTGTAAAAGATACAGAGAATTATAATGACCATCTTTTACATGTGTCGATAGCCCTTGGAAATGCAACTTGAAATGTAGAAAAATAAGCCATGAATTGCTTAGGAAACAAGGCAAAGCATGAATTGGTCCAGAGGTTTGAAATGTCTTGCAGAACTAATAATGTTATAAGAGTTCTCAAGAATATATTTCCTTGAATATTTCATGTATTAAAATGATTTTCATGATTGTTAAGTGAATGCAGGATATTCTATAGTGGCTTATCCGTTATATTTGCTTTTCAATGGGGAGATATCAGCATTCTGCTTATTCGCCGTAGTATTATACTCATAAGACGTTCTTTCAGGACTTTACCAGGACCTTGTAATTCCAGTGACGAACTTTCTTGGTGAAGATAAGGGCTTGATGGTCTTAGCTGGAGATGTTTTTGATGTACCTATAAGAAAAGATATTATTCATCGTGTTGTGAGATGGCAGCTTGCAAAACGACAACAGGTTTTGTACAACAATCTTACGCACTCTGAAATCTGGTGTCTGTATTTGCTGTAAATTAATTCATGGCATAGCTTGATCTACTGAATAACATTTCGAATTTTATTTACTGCTCTGAGAAGCATCTAAAATATTGTAGAAGAATGAGAAACCATTGATATACTACTATCTTCCCATTGAATAGGTTATTTTATTTTCGCAGAGTTTTAGAATGCTGAATGCGTTTACTGCTCTGAGAAGCTTCTGTGGGGATTTTTTATTATGTTGACTGGTTGATCTACAGGGTACGCATTCAACTAAAACAATTAGTGAGGTCAGTGGAACAGGCAAAAAACCATGGCGACAGAAGGGCACTGGTCGAGCAAGGCATGGTTCTAGGCGTGGGCCCCACGTTTGGTTATGTTTTGCCTAATTGTTATAGAGGTCTGATTTACTGAGATGGTGTATGTAAAATATGACTAGCAAATTTTGGAAGACAGTTTAGAGGTGGTGCTACAATGCATGACCCAAAGCCACGAAGCCATGCCATTAAGATCAATAAAAAGGTTAGGCGCCTGGGGCTGAAGATAGCTCTCTCTGCACGGGCGGGGGAAGGAAAGGTGAATCTGTCTCACTGCTCTTCAAATTTTTACTTGTCAATCGTTTGATATGGTAAACCTGTGGGGTTCAATTCAAGGCATCTAAGCAGTGATGATAATTCTGTAGTCAAGTTTGTCTTACTTGTAATGTCCTAGAGTCCGTGCCTTGCCTACTTCATTATCCTTGTGCTTATGACCTTCTCCTTTTTGTGAGGAGCAGTATCTTGAGATTTAGGGTCTATTTTTATTGGATATGAACCTTTTGCTTTCCCTTCAAGATATTGAAAATAAAAATAAAAATTAATATTAGCAAAGTAGGAAAAAATTCTAAACGGCGTACATATCAATATGTGTCTTTTGAAAGGTTTTGAGCTTTCAGTTATTCGACATTAAGTAAAATTACACTTCATACATTAAAGAAAAAGAAAATGTAAAAGACTTTCAAAATAGACCCAATCATTCGATTATTTTTGTTACCATCTTGCTATTCAGCAACCTTTTGCTTTGGTACTTGTTATGTTGAACTCTTTACTGCTCTTCATTAGCACTATACCTCAAAATGATCCCATTCTATATTGAAATCTTCCTTTTCTTTTCTCTATCTATGCTGTATATTTGATATAGTATTTCCTGGCTATTGAAAATTGCACAGCTTCTGGTATTTGACGATGTGGAGATCCCAACACACAAGACAAAGAACATTGTAAACTATGTCGAGCAAATGGAGAACACTAAGAAAATTCTGGTTGTGGATGGTGGTCCCATCAATGAGAAGCTGAAATTGGCTACGCAGAATCAACACTATGTCAACGTGTTACCCTCTATAGTAAGTTTACCTTCTGGTTTTAGATTTTGCATTGTTGAAATTGATTTAGGTAGGCTTGATATTGCATACTAGAATGTTTTCTTACACTGTGTTTGGGTCTGAGAATGCATGAATTTTAACGAGAATGGAGGTGGAGGAATGAATATGAGGGACTATATTCTCTCCTATTGTTGAGAGTAACGGAAATTGAAGGCAGTGAAAATGGAGGGCTTTTCCATTGGAAGGAGATGGAAGCCAAGTTGTGGCAGTGCTACTTAGTGGGCATTGCTCACTCCATTTCTGGAGGGAGCAGGTCAATGTTCCCATTCAGATCAGTTCCCATATTCTATCCTACTCATTTTTTCTTTGGGATGCTCCGTGGGGAAAGAACATTGTCATTCAGGTTGTCTTGCCCAAAATTTATATATACGTGTCTGTTGGTACTTTAGGCATATCCTCTTCCGACTTTATTGATGCAGTTGATAAAATCTTGTTTCTGAAGGACATGCTCCAAGCTTGTCTGGTGATCATAGGTTCATATTATATCATCGCAGGATACGGACTAATATAAGATCAATTGTTGGTACTTTTGGTCTTACGAGATATGGCCATGGCTGTGCGACGGCGAGGCTTGCCCTCGCAGGCACCGGTGAGGACCACGAGGGAGGATCTCGCCATGGCTAGGCAAGAGCTTTGCTCTCGCCGCCGCTGGGCAAGCTTGACCTCGCCAGATTTGGCGAGGTTGAGCCTTGCCCAGTGACAGCGAGGGCAGAGCTCGCCATGGCTGTGCGATGGCGAGGCTCGCCCAGCCATGGCGAGCTCTGCCCTCGCCGCCGCTGGACGAGCTCGACTTTGCCCAAATCTGTCGAGATCGAGCCTTGCCATGGCTGTGCGACAGCAAGGCTCTCCCTCACCGGCATTGGCGAGGGCGGAGCTCGAATTTTTTTTTTTCCTTTCTATGTTTGTTTTTTTGGCCTTTCCTTCTTCCCCCGGACCGGCCAGGGGCTAGGGCGGCGAGACCTCGCCGTCGTTGGGCAAGGCGAGGGCGGAGCTCATCATGGCTGGGCAAGCTCGACCTCACCCACAGCCATGACGAAGCTCGACCTCGCTAGATCTGGGCGAGGGCAGAGCTCGCCCAACCATGGCGAGCTCCGCCCTCACCTGAGCTGGGCGAGCCTCCCCAGTGGCCGGTGAGGTCACCTTGCCGGCGAGCCTCCCCCTGGCCGGTCCGGCCAGGGGGAAGAAGGAAAAGAAAAAAAAAAGAGGAAATAAAATTCGAAAAAAAAAATTAAAATATTGCCATGTTATTCGGCCGGCGTCTACGTCAGCACCGGCCGGCCAAAAGTGGCCGGATGGACTGAATTTGTATAATTGCAAAATGTTTAGAACTAAATTGGCAAAAAAAAAAGGTTTTGGACTGAATTGACACAATTGTAATAGGTTTAGGATTTTTTTGCTAATTTTCCCATCACTAGACTGAGAAGATCGCAACCATCATAATGGAACTGTATCGGTTGATGCTGTGTAATTAACACTGGCATTGTGGAGTTGATGGGTTTTCTTTTGGGGATATTTCATTTTTCCATATTAGGGGAAACCCTTCTCTTGCAGCTCGTACTTGCTGAATGTTGACCCATGCCTTTTGGGTACTTAAAAGCGTAGTAAGGTGATACCGTTTTCTTTCACAAAGCTTATAACTGGAGATGTTTCTAATGGAAGAATAGATGGGTATTTCAAGTGCGTTCGTTTCGAGAAAAAGTAACCATAGGAAAAACATTTATTTAAAAAAATAATCGCATGCACAAAAAGAGAAAAAAGAATAGATTCCTTCTTAGGGTACGTTTGTTTCACGGAAAACGTAACGCTTTTGGAAAATATTTTTCGAAAAATCATTTTTCAGGAAAATAGTTAGTTTTCTTTTGTTTAGTGATATGTGATCGAAAATGTTTTATGGTGTTTGGATCTCATTTGGAAAATGATTTCAATCCCATGATTTTATCTCAAGCAAAAAAATAATTTCGAATTTTTTAATATTTTTATTTTAAAAAAAAGAAAAAGAAAAGAATAAAATATTAAAAAAGTCAAGTGAAGCAATTCCAGAAAGTGTTTTCACCTTCTTAGATTAAGAAATTCATTTTCCTAATTTTATACATAAATGTTTTTTTTGATCGGAAAGTGTTTTTGGCTGATTAATCATTTTTGACGAACCAAACATATGAAAGTCCGGAAAACGGATTCCCGGAAAACACTGTCCCAGAAACAAACGCACCCTTAGTGAGATTCGAACCCTTCATTTCGAAAAAGGTTTTGTGAAATAGATACATCATGGGGCAGTGACGATGCGGTGTGACTGACACATCACTATTTCTTACCCGATGCATCCTCGTTCTCTCCCTTTTGATTAATCAGTTACATCGCATGGTATCCATCATATATAATGCCTTCACTTCACAGAGAAAAAAAGCCAATGAAATCTGTAGAAGTCTTAGAAGTCGAATACTCGGAATTCATCCCTCAATTCGCTCCCTTCTTATATCACTAGAGTTTGGGCTTGCCTTAGCTTATCTTAGGGGAGGCATCTTGCGGGTCTGTTGCCTGGATGTGGGCCTGGTTTTGTTTTCGCCCTTATTAGAACCCAAGAAAATAAGTAATTTCATCAACTGACATAGTATGGTAACAATTACATTGTTTTTTAATGATTTATGGAGATGGAATTGATTTTTCAACAATAAAGTTAAAAGTTAAGTGTATAAATATGCTTTTGAAATTCACAAACAAAGAAGTGATTAAAAAGTTGACTCTGAAAATTTAACATTAATCTAAAAAGTCGAAGTCTTTAGCAGCCAACATCTTTTACCAACTTCACAAATAAAATCAAAATCAAACTAAATTCCTAGCATGCATGTCATCATATTACTATTTATCATCCAATAACTTTAATATGTTGACACCTGAATTTTATTTAAAGGTTTTTCTTGCTTTTTTAGATAAATGAAAAGGATAAAGAAGAGGCAAGAGGGAGGATTCTACTGCATAATAATTCACATGGAAAAGCAACTTGTTGAAAAACATATGTTAAAATTGGAAATTGCACATATGAAGGGATTGTTGAATGTCATGAAGCACCTAGTAGAGCCTCTAGAGGTCCAAGTAGTCGAGGGAAAAGAGAGAAGAGTTTCGTTGGAAGAAGGGATTGGTTCTCTTTTTGGAAGGGACAATGATGGTAAGCGAAGGAGGGGAATGTATGAAAGGTTAATTTTTCATGTTTAAGTTGTGATAATGCCTGTTTTATAACACGAACGCAAGAGGGGAATGTGTAAAAGGTTAATTTTTCTCTTAATTTTCCTTCTTTTTCGAGTATTTATTGAATTAGCAATACAAAATGTCCGAACTCCAAAGTTGTTTTCTTAATGGAGTCTGTCTTCTTTTTTACTTTCTTTTTAATCGATAGAGCTTACCTTATAATCATGCTCTTAGATGAGAAAGCCATTCTTTTTTCCTTTTCTTTTTTTCTGTACTTCCGATCTCTAACTTCTTCTTTCTTTGTTTAGTATAATGCTTATCTCACTCTTCTTCTTCTCTTCTAATATCCATTTTAAGTAAGCCATTACATGCAAAGAGACAAATTTTATTATTAGGGTGGAAGAGTAGAAAGTCAAACACTTTCACCAAAATCGTTAACCGTTTATATTTAGTAAATGAGACCGGCAGAGCACCCATCCGTCATTCAGCAACTTCGACTTTGCCTTTAAATTTTGGTCTTTCGCCTATTTCGTCTCCCTCTTTCTCCATTCTCTTCACCGTTTCTCTCTTTTGTCTCTCTCTCCGTGGACGTTGGGAGCTTTGATTACGTAGTAACAAGGTTAGTATTTTCGTTTGTTGTTTTGGGTTCTATTAATTGTTTTTAGTTGTCAAAATACCTATATTGAACAAGTTGGATATGATTTAGCGGTTTTCTGGTACCAAAGCAGTGGAAAGAGATCACCATGAAGAGCTGAAGAGTGGAACACACCCTTTCTACCCAAAAAAGAAAGAGTGAGAGGAAACGCCCGATTTGATGAACATAATGGAAATGAGTAACGAGACATCAAAGTCTCAGAATTTTACGAGTTTCTACTTCTGTGATCTTCATGAATGGAATGTTGACTACATGCTAACTTCTTTTTTACATCAGAATGTCTTGGACAATCGTCCACTCGAATTGGCTACTCTAAATTACAAAAAGCCGAAAGAGTCTTGAAACTGGCTGAAAAGCATAAGGTATTTGCTTCATATTTATTCTCACGTGAAGAGAAAAAAAAATCTTTTCATATTATTCTTTTTTGACACCTATGTATGATATTTCAGAGGTTAGAGGAGAACTCTACTACATGATAATTCACATGGAAAAGTAACTTGTTGAAAAACATATGTTGGAATTGAAAATTGAACATAAGAGGAAATTGACGAATGTCATGAAGCACTTGGTGGAGCCTTTAGGGTTCCAAGTAGTCGCTGGAGAAGAAGGAATAAAGTTTCACTGAAAGAAGGGATTGGTTCTCTTTTTGGAAGGGACAATGATGGTGAGCACAGGAGGAGAATGTGTGAAAGGTTAATTTTTCATATTTAAATTGTGATCATGCGTGTTTTATAACATGAATGCAGCGGAGGAATGTGTGAAAAGTTAGTTTTTCTCTTAATTTTCCTTCTTTTTCGAGTATTTGTTAAATTAGCAGTACAAAATGTCCGAACTTCAAAGTTGTTTTCTTGATGGACTCTATCTTCTTCTTTTTTTCTTGTCAATCAATCGAGCTTATCTTATAATCATGCTCCTAGACGAGAAAGTCATTCTTCTTCCTTTTCTCTTTTTTTTTTTTTTCGTACTTATGGTCTTCAACTTCTTCTTTCTTTGTTTGGTATAATACCTATCTCACTCTTGTTCTTCTCTTCTGAAGTCCATTTTAAGTAAGTCATTATATGCAAAGAAACAATTTTTTTTATTAGGGCAGAAGTGTAGAAAGTCAAGCACTTTCACCAAAATCGTTAGCCGTTCATATTTAGTAAATGGGACTGGCACAATACCCCTTCGTCATTCAGCAACTCCAACTTTGCCTTCAAATTTTAATCTTTCACCTATTTCTTCTCTCTTTCTTCATTCTCTTCTCTG